AAAATACATATGTATTTTAAAATTATATTTTGTTTGTGTCATTTTAATTATATGATAATTATATTTTGACAAAACAAATTTTATTATATATATATATATATATATATATATATATTACTTTTATTTTCATCATTTTAATTATATGATAATTATTGATGTCAAAATAAAATATGATATATTGAAATGGCCGAAAATTTCAAGAGAAAGATACAAAACATATTTTGATTTTTTACCTAATGATATATTTGATTTATATAATCAAATATTTGATTAGTAAAGAATATTTGTATTGTTGTGTTGGTTGGGAACAATACATTAAGCCATATTTGTTTTTGTCCCTAAGCAATTTCCTAGCAAATCCTTAATGCAATATATTATAAAATGAGAAATATCCCTCCCCATTTTCTTGTGTAATTTTCGGCCACATAGAGAGAGAGAGGAGAAAATTATTATTTTGTGTTACAAGTTATTTTTCTAAAGTGTTAGAAATATACACAAAATATTATAAACAAATATTTATAAGATAAATATTTTACTATATATTTATTACTCCCAAAGTAGTATTATTATAGTTTTTACTATCCTATATTAAACTTGCTAGCACAAGTTTAATCTTGGACTCCAGAGCAAGTTCGTGTGGATACGTTGGAGGCTTCATACGTTTGGCGCTACGTTCATCTCCTCAAAACCATCCCCGACCGTTCCTCCATTTTCCGTTCTCACCGTTAAGGTAAATTTCTTACTATAGCTAGTAATTTACGTAAGTTGTTCTTGGGTGGAATCGAGTTTTGGACTATAAATTTTTGTTTTCCGCTGCGTTATCCAAGCCTCGTTTCCCAACATACCCATCGCTGGTAGGCCAATTTTCCTTCAATTTTGAAGCCAACGGTCACCTACCCATCGATGGGTGGGAGGTTGGCTTCCAAACATGGAAAGAATCAACCTTAAATGACTTACAACGGTCATGCCTTCCCATCGATGGTTAAGCCTTCCCATCGCTGGGTTCCCATCGATGGGTAATGCTTCCCATCGCTGGGTAAGGGCATTCTGCCTTGTGATAATCTTGGACCAAGGCTTTAACAGCGATGGGTAGAACCTCCCATCGCTGTTTGACATGGTTCTGGAAGTTGGTTTGGCTAAGGGGCCGCTTACCCATCGATGGGATGTTTTTCCCATCGCTGGGTGGGTGGTTAGCCAAAAACCTATGGTTTTTGCCTTAACCACGGCCTAGCCAACCGATGCAAAAACGGACCGAATAATCCAAAGTTCTCCAAAATAAAAACCAAGTGTTTGAAACACTTATTTGATGTATTTGGCTAAGAAATCAAGTGAGTTACTTTAAAAACCACGTCATTTGAGTAAGAACCACGGCTAGCCAAGTTTACGCCGTTTTCCGTGGTTTTTGTCAAATGACTTAAAACGAAAGATGGTTTTCAATGTTTTTTGTTGGAAAACCGTTTAAACATGCCAAAGAGTGAAAGCAGATCATAAAATGCTGAAAACCACTTGGTTGGTTCGGATGCCAAAAACCAAAGCCGATAATCGAAAGCCGAACGCTGGTTTCTGAAAGCCGAACACTGGATGGCTTGGTTTTTGGTTTGGGCGAACACCAAGTGTTTTTAATGACTTAAACAAGTTTGAAAAACATTTTTATGATGTAAGAAATGCAATGAGAGATTTTAGCCTAAGGAGCCAAGGTGTAAAGATTGGGTCGGTCTTGATCACAATAAAGACCGACTCAATACTATGACTAAGGTCTTCGTTCTTGGTCTCCGTTTAGCTCTTGCTCTTATCTTCGTTCTTCGCCTTGTATATTCAATGTTCGACTTTGTTAGACAAATGTGCAACTCTAGAGGGGGGGTGAATAGAGTTGTTTTCAAGAATGTGCGTTTTTCGCGTAAAAAAAATTTCGCAGGAATAAATAAAGAGAGTAAGGGAAAGAAGAACACCGAGATTTATACTGGTTCACCACCTCGTGGCTAGTCCAGTCCTCCGAGAGACTCTCTCGAAAGTCCTACTAATCTTCAAGCTTCAACGGGTGCTTGAAAAACCGGTACAACTTGAGAACTTGAATCACACAAGCCTCACTTTCTTACAACAACAAGACT